ATTTTGTGCATGGGAACAACTGCCCATCTCATGGATTGGGCTGGGATACATCTCATGGCTCTTTCATTGCTCTATTAGCAATCAGTCATTGGCAGCTATTTGGATACTTACAGCATTTCTGCCTTGCCTTTTTGTGCTTTACCTCCTCATCCACACGTTAAAAGCTCATCTGTGTTTCCTTACTGTTTAGTGGAGACACAAAACCTGGCAGCTCATCATTGTTGTTAGTAGTGATTAGACAAGAGAGTAGACATGTTGCTGTATGACACTGTGCAACATCAATGTCAGACCTGCAGCATATACCACTGGCTTACATGACAAATAAACTGCATGTGCCCCAACCAAATGGCCATGTTTCCAAGTCTAAAGGTTCTAGTCCTAAGTCAAGTCAAGGGGGACTGTTGTCAATCAGAGGGTCCTGCCACAATCAGTGAAGAGCAGTGTATGAGATCAGTCCAGGAGCTTGGACACAGGCAGTCAGTCATTTGGAACTGTCAAGGTTAGGGGTTCCGTATCACTGCAGTATGGGGAGTGGGCCGTGGTACCCTGCAGCTCCATTGCAACCAGTCCTGGGATTTGTCAGGGATCTGCAGAGAAATCAGGCAGGGGTTTTGTCATTCATCAATTAGGGCAGTCCTTCCAAATCAATTGAGGGAGATGGCAGCAGTGATGGGCCATAGTCAGTCCTGTATCAGCTCAATGAAAGTCAAGGGTGGTTATCAGGGACCACTATTGTGCTGGGAAGCTGGGAAAGTCAGTTCTGGGTGTAGTGATTGTAATGAGGTCAGCCAGGTGGACCCCATAGAATATGAGTTCCCTGATTGGGGCTGTTAATCTTGTCCAATCAGGGAGCCCTGGCTGACAGATATAAACAAGAGTGTCAAATATCCTGTTCACATTGAGAACTGGCTGTGAAGGAGCTGGATCAGTGTCAAGGACTGTCCATGTGCAAATAAAGGGTGACTTGGTGACAGGATACTGGCCTCTGTGGAGTTATTTCAGTGAGGATTGGAGAAAGCTTGCTGGAATGCTAATATGACAATAATTGCGAAGGAACACGACTCAACATATTAGGATAGGAGATGATAAAGCATTGGAGGACACTTCTAACTGTAGGAGGAGGAAGGGGGTCATCGATTTTCACAATCACACTGGGGTACAGTGCAGCATGATGGTTGGTATGGATAAACTGTTCTAAGCTAAAATAATCTAAGCTAAGCATTCCCTTCCAACCTCATGCAAATTGTGAATGCGTACGACAAAAGGAAAACAGCTGTGACCATACCTGGAATGGGCAGAGTTGATGTTTCTTTTCTGTCTAAGCACAAAAATTCTACTTGTGAGTGATTTCAGGCACTTCATGGGGGAAATTACATTAATCAGACACTTTCACAATACAGACTGAAGATTTATGTAATCACAGTACCCTGCATTTGGTATACATCAGTTTCCAACTGCATGGGATACACATTCTGGTCACAGACAATCTTGACTATGTCATTAGTTGTTATGGATTGATCAAGTCATCTTTGTGAAGCAGAAGTAATCAGAGGCAACCTTAAAATTGTCACCTGCGGGCTACAATACACAAAGACAATACAAGATCTCATAGACTGCAGAAGGAGCTATAGACCCGATTTTATCTAACCCTAAACTGCAAGCATTTGCCAGCAACCTCTTATACGCAATGCTGCCTTTCTTGTGTGATCTAGGTAGTTGGTATGGGGACAACGCATCAGCGATCTTACAGCACTCACAAGCTCCTACTGCATTGGCATGGCATGCCTTGTGTTGCACTAATCAGAACAAGGTCCTTTAAGTAAAGATCAAAGTAGAGGTGCTTCATGGCCCTTCTTGTTGGGAGTCCTCCATGCCCCAGTGTCATTTTCAGTTGTGTGTGATGCAAATGCTTATTGCTCACATAATGAAGGACCTGTTCTGTTTCTAATAACGCCCACACAAGTTCTTTGGAAACACAATCAATTAATCCAGTCACAGCAGATGCCATCATGACTATGGATTAGGTGCTGAGATCCTTCATTGACTGTACACGTGTTGCTCAAAAGACAAGTGGTTTCTGACTATTCCCGGAAGTAAATGCAACATTTTTCTTTTTGTTTTTTTCTTATCTATTGCTGTTGTTCAACAAAGTGAACATTTTCAACCATTTGAAGGCTTTCCAGCATGTGATGGTCCCACATTGGACAATGGGAAGGTGTTATGCTATACTGGGCATTAGAGAAAGAGTAACACTCTCTTAGACAGGATTCTAACAAGACATGGCGCTAAAGATCAGTAACCTATGTTTGTCGACTTTTGTAGTTACAATGACAACCCATTAGCAATGTAAATAGCAATGTATTTACAAATGCATGCTTGATTTTGCAATTAAAAAACACTTATGGACTCTCCAAAGTTTTTCCTTTTCATTTCACTCCAATTACATGCACTGGGAAGGGCACCTCCTGGCTACGAACACTTGAGATGGTGCATTGCTGAGATTAAGAATCCCAAGAGGTTCAAGCAGTGGCAAATACTTTTGCTGTTGGTGGGTGTTTGATAGCAATGTGATGAATACATAATGAGGTGAGTTGTAGAGAATTGCCTGAGAAAGTTATTAGATCTCTCACAGAGAAACCCTCCGTGGAAACACCCAAAATTGACATTTAGCTAATTTTTGGTAGAATTCAGCCCTCGGTGTTGATAAGTGTCAAAGGTGATGGATAAGGTGCCAGTTAACTGCACTATTTTGTCCTGGATGGTGTCAAATTTCTCGAGTGTTTTTGGAACTGCACCTATTCCGGTAAGTGGAGAGTATTCCATCTTGATTTGTACCTTATAAATCACATAGCCATGGTATGGCTGGTCCAGCTTAGTTTCTGGTCAATGGTAACTAATTGTGAAAGTAGTTGCATGGAAGACAGACTTCAGTTATGTCAATAATTTGGAGAAACTGGGGTTGTACTCATTGGAGGAGAGAGATTGAGAGGAAGTTTGACAGAAGCATTGAAGATCATGAAGGGTTCATATATGTTAGGTGGAGAGAGCATGTTTGGTTGACATAAAAATCAGGAACTTGAGGACATCAATATATGGTGAATAACATAAGAACCACTGACAACAGAAGACTTTTTTTTAATACTGTATGTGATTGGGATCTGGAATGTACTCCTAAGAATCTGTTAGAGGAAACTTAAATTGTGTCTTCCAAAAAGTAATTAAATAAGCACCTGAAACAAAAAAAACAATGACAGGGTGACTGAGAAAGAGTGAGTGAATCGAACTAGCTGGATTGTTCTTGAAGAGAGCTGGCATGAATGGTTCAAGTGATCTCCTTTCTGTAATGTAACTATTCTACAAAAAGATATGGGCGTGTACCATAATGTATTAAACTGCCACTTGTTTGGGAGGGCTTTCCAATGCATTCTCATTGCTGGGAAAGTTTTTGGGCAGCCAATTTAACTCATTACAAGTGGGCAACCAATTTTATGGAGGTGACCTCCCAATAGTGAGGGTCTGGCATGGAGCCAATGGTTTCAATGTGTAAAGGGACAACCATGGTCAGGGAAATCTTCCTCTGGCCCTAAAGAGCCATTTGAAGTGGGCTCTCCTCTGATCAGAAGACCTGCTTTCCTGGTCCCCCTTGAAGGGTGCCTCCATGTGGAGGTGCCCTCTTGGTCCTCAATCTGGGACAACAGTACACAATTTTCCAGATTCTATTTTAACTCACTCTCTGAATGGAAACAGTCCAAACAGTCCTCTAAAACAAAATACTGTAGAGGCTGGAAACTTGAAGAACTAACTGAAAAAGGAGAGAGAAACATTCAGGTAAATGGCAATTCATCAGAAATTCAGTTGAAATCCCCCCTCACCTCCGTTCAAGGCATCAAACAAACCTTCCACATCAGACGGAGGTTCACCTTCACATCCGTCAATGTGGTCTATTGCATACACTGCTCCCCATGTGGCCTCCTCTACATCGGCGAGACCAAGCAGAGGCTTGGGGACCGCTTTGTAGAGCACCTGCACTCTGTTCGCAAAAAAACGACAACACCTTCCGGTCGTGAACCATTTCAACTCCCCCTCCCACTCCCTGGGTGACATGTCCATCCTGGGCCTCCTCCAGTGTCACAATGATGCCATCAGGAAACTGGAGGATCAGCACCTCATATTCCTCCTTGGGAGCCTACAGCCCAATGGCCTAAATGCGGACTTTACCAGTTTGAAAATCTCCTCAACCCTGCCTTATCCCATGAGCAACCCTCCCTGTCATCCCCACCTCCTTGGGCTGCCACAACCTGTCCATCTTCTCTCCCACCTATCCATCACTTCCACCTCATTGACCAATCTCCACCACTTCCTACTGCACTCACCTATCATCATCCCACCTACCTTCCCCAGCCCCACCCCTCCTCACTATTTATTTCTGAGCTCCCTTCCCCCATTTCTGAAGAAGGGTCCCGATCCGAAATGTCAACTTTCCGGCGCCTGTGATGCTGCCGGGCCTGCTGTGTTCTTCCAGCTACACACTATGTTATCTCATTGGAAAGCACTGTGCGTTTTGACACCTCCCAGCTTCTATGGATACAAGACACTAGAGTTGAAGCTCCCTCTAAGTCATTCCCAACCCCTCTCAGATGTGCCGGTCTGGTTGATTGCGTTAGTTGATGTTTAGAATTTATTCCATGAAGCTTCAATGTTAATGGGACTGTTTAAGGTTTTTCTGTTTCAAAATATACTTTAGCCATAAAAAAAATCTTGTATGTACGCAGGGTGACAAAAGCAGTTCATTCTGTACAGTTGCATATCAAGTTAATAAACAAACCATGGGACTGTTTAACGTGGAGATAGTAAGACTTCTTGTTGTGGGTCCGGTCTTAGACAGGGCTTGGCCCGAGTGCGTGGCTGTCCCTTTAAATTGGGAGCGGGCGGGCAGGTGCAATGAGGTTCCACCTCCATGTGGGTGATTGACAGCCGGGCCAGCACGGGGCTTTCGGGACGTGGAGCTGGAAGGAACTGGTTCAGCTTCTGAGAGCAGCTCGAGTAAGTTGGTGTTGTTAAAGCGGCCGGCCTTATTGCCACCTGCCAGAAGCAGAGCAAAGGTATATATGTCGGGACGGCAGGCGGAGTGAAAGCCTTTCTCTGGTCGGTGAGTGTTTTCTTTTTGCTCGAGGGCGGCTCTGTTGCTTGTACAGTAAATAGGTTGATGTTTTAATTGGCACTTAGTTTCTAATTGCAGCTTGTATTACAACTGAAACATTTATTGTGGCTTAACAACAGCAATGTTGGTTTTAGTAGTCTTCACTTACGGTCATCTAATCCTATTTGTTTTTCCTATTTAGCTATTTTGTTTAGCTACTGGACCTGTCTCCATATTTTTGGATGTATGTGGGTGGCGGTGGGGACTTTATAAAGTGGAGTTAGAAACGGTACTTTTTGCATGGTTGTAAACTAAATGAGGATTATTTCGTTTATATATCGTTCCCTTTAACATTATATTTGAGGAATAAATAACTTTGTCACGTAAGGCATAGGATGATGATCGGTTGCCAGTTATTAAAGAAAAAGTTCATTCAGCTTATTTGTATTGAGATCGTTTACGCATGATCCTGCAAAAGAAATGGGAATTTCTACAGGTAGTCTGTGTACACAGTAACTGCAGGGAAAATTGTCAAGAAAAACCATTGACTCCCGGGTTTCTGTGACTTTAGCTTCAAAGTTAGTGTGGACGTGGTGGAAGCCTCACCATATCATTGTAAAGGGACTGAACCTTTCATCTTCAGCTATATAAGAATCCAAAGGACAGACAAGGGGCGCTTTTATATTTCAGTAACATGCCATCGTAGTTGAACCTGTACCTTGCATATTAATAAGGTCTAATTTTTCTTTTACGTGTAATCTATCTCGTAGATAGCAAATGCGTGTGAAACTCTTATGTTATCTCAATTCGGTCATCTTGACTCTCGATTGGCTCATGTTATTTTGTAAAAGAGCAACAAATCAAAACAATAAAATAACTTTTAACAGTCAGTGAGTAGCAAGTAGGAATGGAAAGCGCCAATCAGGAACTTTTAAGAACTAATACAATCTCCAACAAAGTTACCAATGAAAAAGAATTATCAAATCTAATTTTCCAATGTCGTTTCAGCCACCCTGAGCCCCCCCCCCCCCCCCCCACCAGCCGAAATACTGACGACTGATTAAGTTTTGCAACATAATAAAAGCATAAAACTTATGCGACCTGCCATGAAATTTGTTACACTTTGCAATACAAGTATACTAAATTTACTTGAGAGCTAAGTGTCTTTCTGAATGGCCTTGAGCATGTGTTCTTTGCAACAGCTGAAAAGGAAACAACACTAGCTCCCATGATGACATTGTCTGCAGTGGACAAAGTTCCCAGTGTGGAGTGGTGAAACAATCTTCTACTTTAATCTACTTATTTTGCACGCTATCATTCAGAGGCTACCTGTTTAGAGTGAGAGAAATGCCGACTGTTAGTTTGTGTATTGGTTCAGTGTTTTAGAACTTGTTGGACATAAATATGCACTTTGTAATAAAACCGCATCAAAAATGAAAAAAATCTACTTAAAGCCACCACTTGAACTCTTCAATTTTTTTCTACAAGCATCTTCCTGAAAAGATAAAACAAAGAACTGCAGATGCTGGAAATCTGAAACAGGAACAGAAATTGCTGCAGAAACTCAGCAGGTCTGGCAGCGTTTGTGGGGAGAAAGTATTTGACTGTTTCAGGTCCACTGACTCTGCTGTAGAACAGATTGTAGCTAGGACAATGTATAAATGCTGAAGACGTGGGTTGGGGAAGGGCATTAAAGGAGTGAATGAGAGATGGCGACAGAGCCCAGACAAAGGAATAGAGGATCATAAGTAGGTGAAAATGGATTGGCTCTGCTGAAAGCAGCCCAGTCATGACAAGGGCCTGGGTTATGGAGGTGGGTAAAGGACATAGAAGAAGGTAAGAACTGCAGATTCTGTAAATCAGAAATAAAAACAGAAATTGCTGGAAAAGCTTCGCAGGTCTGGCAGCATCTGTGAGGAGAAATCAGGGTTAATGTTTCGGGTCCAGTGACGTTTCCTCGGAACTCTAGAGGAAGGGTTGAGCAAGGGTCGCTCGATCTGAAACGTTAGCTTGATTTCTGTCAACAGATGTTGTTAGACCTGCTGAGTTTTTGTTTTCAGCAATTTCTGTTTTTGTGCTTTGAAGAAGGTGTCCATGCCCTAAAACTATTGAACTCCACATTGAGTCCCCAAATGGAGAATGAGATGCTGTCCTTCTAGTTTGCACTGAGCCTTGCTGGAGCACTGCAGTAGGCCCGAGATATGCATGTTAGCCAGGGAACATGATGTTGTGTTGAAGTCACAGGCAACTAGAAGCTCAACTTCTTTGTTTGCAAAAAAAAGTGATTGCCCAGACTGTATTTCATCTCCCCAATGTAGAGGAGCCCACATTCTGAGCAACAAATACTGTAGACTAAATTTAAATGAAAGTAAATTGTTGTTTCATTTGGAAGCTGTCTGGAGTCTTGGATAGAGCACAATTTTTTTCCCTGAAAATAATTACTTCATATTCAAAAGTTGTTCAGTATATTAGATGAGAAAATGGATTTTAAACAATGCTAAGGGAGCAATTTTTATATTTTATTATGTATCCTAAATGGTTCTGCAGATGTTTCTGAATCTTTTATTGAATACATGAACAATAATTGTTCACAAAGCAGATTTACTGGAATCATGGTATTTATTTGGCTAACTATATTTCTCTTTTGTAGCTAAATAAAACTTATTATAAAGTCAACTGAAAGTCTTGCTGTCTTGAGCAGTTCTTGCACATTTTTTTCCAAATTATAACACTGGAAATTTGCATCACTGAGTCGGATAGGGACATACATTATTTCGTCTAGTGCATGTGTCAGGTGTTTCTTTTGTTTGTTACTCAACTGACTACAGTATCATGTGAATTTTATTTTCCTAACGGCCAAATTCCTTCTGTTCTTGTTTGAATTTAACTACTCTTAAATGTTACTCTTTTAAAAAAAATCAAGCAATGAAAGTTTACCTTTCAAACATTCTATGTTAGCAATGATGTGTAATTATTTATCCTTTATTAACACTTTTTCTCTTGTAGGTTAGAAATAAAGAAACAATACATTTATGTTGCTGGGATTCCTTCCTGGTTGTCATAACTCTTTAGCGATTAAGTCTTGAGCTTTATCCTGTCGCTAATATGGATCCTGCTGACTACACATCTTAATTTCATGAGAGAGTGCAATATTTCTCAACTCTGAAATTTACCTGACTAAACACAAAGTTCATATTTGCACATTAATGATTGAGGTCTGCATCAGAGAAATGAGAGTAGAAACCGTCAGAGGTTATTAACAAGAAGCATATTAGTTTTAAACAAGTGAGTCTATAAGGTTATGAATAACTTTATTTTTTCTATAACAATCTAGTATATATTAATAACAGTTTTGTAGTCATGTTGTTAATACAATTGAACAAAGTAGTTGGAAAGAGTCTAATGAAATGTCATGACCTGAAACTTTAACTTTAATTCTCACTCCAGAGCTGCTACCAGTTATACAGAACATTTCTAGCTTTTTAATTTGGATTTTCAGTAGTTTGCTTTTATAGCTTTTCTGGTTTTCTTTGCATTTAATTCCATGTATCAGATTAGACATATCTATTTTTCAGTTATAATGAACTCGATCTGAGAGTTGGCCATTCGGTCATTTTGAGTCTGTTTCACCATACACTTGTGTTAAGATTTCACTGTATCTTGACTCCTTCAATCTATCTTTGGTGTTGTAGTCATCAAGGCTGTTACAACCACATCTTCTAAACCTGCCATCTCTACCAACTGGAAAGATAAGGGCATCAGATACATCAGATCACCACCACTTGTGGAGCTTGAAGGGGAACTTTTTTCCATTCCTTCACAGTTGCTTCAAATAGAAAACTTAGAAGATAGGAGCAAGATAGGCCATTCAGCTCACTGAATCTGCTGTGTCATGCAGTATGATCATGGCTGATTATCAATCTCAGTGCCACCCTCCTGCTGTCTATCCATACCCTTTTGATGCCTTTTAGTGTCTAGGAATATATCTATTTCTTCCTTAAATAGTTTTAATTACTTGGACTCCACTGCCTTATGTGGTAGAGAATTAGACAAAGTCACCACCCAATGAGTTGTTTTTAAAAAAAATTCTCCTCATCTCAAAGGAAATGGTCTACCTCCTGTCCTGACCACTTGTTTTAAACACCTTCCCTCCCCCACTTAGGGGGAGCATCATTCAAGCATCCAGTCAGTCCAGCCCTGACAATATTTAGTATGTTTCAATGAGATATCTTCTTATCATTCTAAACCCGAGTGGATAACAAGCCTATCCAACACAATCTCTCCTTTATATGGCAAACCTGCTGTCCCAGGGATCAGCCTCATGAAGGTTGGCTGAACTCACTCCAGGATGAAAATATATTTTCTTGGGTAAAGAGGCCAAAACTGCACTCTAGACTCCAGGTGTGGTCTCATAGCAGTCTGCTACAGCAAGACATCCCTGTTCCTGCACTCGGATCCTATTGCAATGAAGGTCAGCATGCCATTTGACTTCCCAATTGCTTGCTTGCTTTCAGTACAGGAGCTCACTTTCAAACAGTGTACTTGCATCACGTGGATTGCTGCAGTTCAACAAGGTAGCTCAAATCACTACCTTTTCAAGGGCAACTAGGAGTAAGTAAAAACCAAAAGAACTGCGGATGCTGTAAATCAGGAACAAAAACAAAGTTGCTGGAAAAGCTCAGCAGGTCTGGCAGCATCTGTGAGGAAAGAAAAAGAGTTAATGTTTCGGGTCTGGTGACCCTTTCTCAGAACTGGAATAAGTAAATGCTGTCTGTGCCTTGTAAAATAATTTCAAAAATCCTCATATCCTTGCTTATCAGAAATCTATCTATCAGTTTTATAATCTTCAGTTTACCAAGAATCACTGCATTTATGGAACTGAACTCTAGATTTTTATTAACCTTTGTGTAAAGAGGTTCTTGCATCGACCCTAAATGGGTAAGCTCCAATTGTGAGGTTCTGGGCTCTCCAGCAGAGGAAATAATGCCTCTCTATCCCATTAAATCCTT